TAAACCCAGGGTTTAGGGCTTTGTAGTAAAAGGGTTTGGGGGTTTAGAGCCTGGGGCTGTGGGTTTAGGGTTTCTGGGTTGAGGGTTGAGGGTTTAGGGTTTAGGGTTTAGGGTTTAGGGGTGGGTTGAGGGCAAGTTGAGGGCTTAGCGTTAGGACTTCCCCGCGGCGCCCGAAAATGACAAAGTCAGGGCAACGAGGACATTTCAAGGTTACAGTAGACGTGTAGCAAAATGTAGCACCGCCCAAACACTCTTAAGGCTGAAACCTGCAAAGCCCTTACAAAACCCTCATAAAAACCCTCGAACTAACTCTCTAACTCTTGCCTGGACAAGTAAACCACCCTAAACCTTAAACCCTANNTAAACCCTAAACCCTTGACCTTAAACCCTGAACCCACAACCCCAACTTTTTCAGAGCTGAGCCGCGGCCACGTAAGGCACGGCGTTTGGGGTACCGCAGGCGGCCAGAAGCGCGCGGCGTGCGGAGTCTCCCGACTTCTGCTGTGCAGTCAACGCCTGTTTTGCGGCTTTGAAGTGTGTTTGGGGGTTTCGAAGTGTGTGTTTAGGGCTGTTAAAGGTGTTGTTACAGGTGTGTGTTTGTGCGTGGTGGGTCTAGGGCGTCTAAGGGTGTGTAGGGAATTGCTCGTGTTTCGCACGTTTTAAGGGGTCTCTTACGAGCGTTTACAGGGGTTGCTCAAGGCTTTCTGGTCTTTTGAGGAAACCCTAAACCTTAAACCCCAAACCCAGGTTCAGGTTTCGATTTCTGCCTTGCCAACAGAGCCTAAGTTTTGGGGAACTCGGGGCCGTACTTCGAGCCCGAAGCCCTAAGCCGTGGTTTGAGGGCTTTTTGGCTTTAAGGGTTTAGGGTTTAGGGTTTACCCCAAACCCTAAGCCCTAAACCCTAGGGTTGAAAGTTTGGTGGGTTTGGTGGGTTGAGGGTTTAGGGTTTAGGGTTTAGGCTTAAGGGCTTTAGGGTTTAAGGGTTTAGGGGTTTAGGGGTTTAGGGGTTTTGGGGTTTAGGGGTTTAGGGGTTTAGGGTTTAGGCTTCCAAACCAAATCATGTCGATTAGGTTTTAGGGTTTAGGGTTTAGGGTTCACGGGTTCGGGATGTCTACAGTGTTGGGGCATGGGGTCTCCGTGCATTCTGAGACGTCCATCGTCGCCATGACCATCCTGATCACCATCAGCTCCGGAGTCATCATACCTAAACCCTAAACCCATGACAGTCACCATGATCAGATCATCGTCCGGACTGAAACCGCCGCTACCGGCCGCATCATCGCCTTCACCATCCCACTCTTTGGGCTCTTCTTCATAATGTAGGGGCCTTGATAATTACAATTTGTGGTATATTATGCTATATTTACTAACCTCCTCCATCGTCACCAAAATCGGCATCAGTGTGCCCCACCACAAAGCCTGCTACTATCAGCACAACCGCAGTAGTTGGACAGTTTCTGGCTACTGTGAATACATTTCGTGCGAGCGAACCGGTCTGTCGATTGTTCAATCTGCGGTGTGGTGATTACCCTTAAAGGCTCTGGTGTGGACTGTATCGTACTACAGTGACTGGAATCCTGCTTGCTAGGTGTTGATAGCCTTGGATGCCATTGTTCTATGCAAGCCTGTGTTGCAATAACCCAGGTTGGCTGAGTGCCATTCCAACGGATGTGTTCCTACATTATGCGGGGCTGTTCGCGCATCCGCACCTGCCACTGTCTCGTGTTTGTGCATTGTGTTGCATTTTGTGCGTTGCCATGCTGCACGATACTGCTAGATTATGCCGCTTCTGTTCGTGTATGTTAGTCTCTTGCTATACCGCAGGCAACCATGAACAGTTGCATCCTTGGTTGAGAAGCCTTGACGACATTCTTCGACCCCCAAAATCCCAAAGCTTTTCCCCAAAACCCCCAAAAACAACTAAAACCCTAAACCCCGAAAACCCCAAAAAGCTCTAAAACCCTAAAACCCTAAAACCCTTAACCCCGACAACCCCAAAAAACTCTGAAACCCTGAATCCCGAAAACACCGACAACCCCAAAAAACTCTGAAACCCTAATTCCCGAAAACCCCAAAAGCCTAAAAACCTCTAAAACCCTGAATCCCGAAAACCGCAAAAGGACAAAACCGCTAAAACCCTAAATCCCGAAAACCCCAAAACACTCAAGACCTCTCAAACCCTAAACCCCGACAACCCCCAAAGCCCAAAAACCTCCAAAACCCCTAAAATTCCGAAAACCCCAAAAGAGCAAAAAAAACTCTAAAACCCCGACCACTCCGAAAACCCCCAAAACCCCCCGCCCCCTTCATGCGCCTCGGCCATGAGCTGCAGGGCCTCGAGTCTGCCTCCCGACACCTGCGTTTAGGCTTTTAGGGTTTTAGGGTTTCTGTTTTAGGGTTTAGGGTTTAGGGTTTAGGTTTCAGGGTTTAGGGTTTAGGGTTTAGGGTTTAGGGTTTAAGGGTTTGGTTTATGGTTTAAGGCTTTCGGGGTTTAGGTTTATTGATGATTTTTGGGTGTTGGGTTCAGGGTTTAAGGGCGTCTTCTCCTCCTTTGTCCCGCAAAGGCACACTTTGGGTTTTAGCGTTTGGGTTGAAAGTTTAGGGGTCTAAGCATGCAATATTCATAATATGGGTAGCTCTCTGAATTAGGGTCCCTTTTGGGGTCCTCTGTATACGGGTGCCGTACTATATTGGGGACCCGAAAAGGGACCCCCAGTTGGAGAACTGCGCATGTTACAGGCCTCAGCAACCAGAATACGGTTTAGGGTTTAGGGTTTAGGGTTTAGGGTTTAGGGTTTAGGGTTTAGGTTGATGATACAAATCCTGCATTACCCATAATAAGGAACATACCATAATTCCCATAGTTTAGGGTCCCTAAGGTACTGCAGGACCTAGATCATCAACAGTAGGTGCTCTACACCGTGGCACTCTCAACAGATTTCCTATACCGCGGTGCTTCCGCGGTTCGATAGGGTTAGGAGTTTAAGGCTTAGGGTTTAGGGTTTAGGGTTTAGGGTTTAGGGTTTAGGGTTTAGGGTTTAGGGTTTAGGGTTAGGGCTTAGGGTTTAGGTTTAGGGTTTAGGGTTTAGGGTTTAGGGTTAGGGTTTAGGGCTTAGGGTTTAGTAAAGATGCCGTATACAGGTATCCATAGGCTCTTGTAAGGTTCGGTCTACAGGGTTTGATCAGGAGGAAAGTTACTGGTTTAAAACATCAGCCTGTGAAGTTAGAATACGGCTCTCAGAGGCTTTACTGTGCAGGGATAGGCAGCAAAACAGGGCCTTGGCATACGCCTGGCTGTGCTCATTCAGATTCATACTGTGCAAGATCTGTACATTTGAGATTTTTATACTGGCCGCAGAAGTTTTCGGGTATGAGTGTTCTTGTAAAGTCCAAGTCGCGAATAAGGCACATGTCAGCTTCCGTTTCTGTTTCCGTTGTTCCGTTTGGCCACGGTCTTCCAGTCTCGCTGTCGTTCCGTCTTCCGTTTGTCTTTCAGTCCCATGGAAGCGTCAGGTGCCATCGTCAATGTTGCTTCCATTCAGCTTTCCGTTTCTCCCTAAACCCTAAACCCTAAACCCCTCCTTGTCGTGATTCCGGCTTCTGCGCTGGCTTCAACGCGACACCGAAACCCAAACGAAAAGGCTTCAAGCCACCGTAACGAAAACGGAACCGGAACCGGAAACGGAAGCCCCCCAAGAGGCTGAAAATTCTCGTGTGTTCCATGTGTGTTTCCGGGTTTGGGCGGGGGGGGGGTGCCCGGGTGTTCCGGTCCGGGTTCCGTTGGCTTTTGTTTTCTCTCTCTGCCTCGCTCCCTTCCGTTCCGGGTTCCGTTTGCAGCTTTTTGCTCATGGCGACAAACGGAAGCCGAAACGCCCGTAGGAGTGGAAAGCAGTAAACTGATGGGGAAGGAAAAGCCCTGACGGAACCCGAAACGGCAAGAAACAAGGACAGGAACGGAAAGATCTTTGGGTCACTGTTGCCGGAAGTGGATGCTACAAGAATGTCTACCTTGGCTGCGGGTAGGGTGCTTTGAACCTCTTCGAACCTGAATCAAATCTGAATCCAAGCATTCCAGAGATTTCCGCATCCATCATCCAACTTTCTTTGATTGTCCCAATTGAAGGAGCTGTTCTCAGTCAAGGAATATCTCTTAGATCTCTTAGGTGACTCCCCAATCAGGAACCCCTCTTTAAAAGATGTCGGAGTCTCATGTAAGGGCTTCGATTATTGGCATAGGGTTCTGGGGGTATGTCGTAGTATAATTGCTGCATAGTTACAGTGAGAAATCTCAGGGACTGAAATATGTTGCAACTACAACCCTAAACCCTAAACCCAAACCCCTAAACCCTAAACCCTAAACCCTGAACCCCGGAACCCTAAACCCTGAACCCTGAACCCTAAACCCTAAACCCCTAAACCCTAAACCCTAAACGCTAGACCCTAAACCCTAGACCCTAAACCCTAAACCCTAAAGCCCCATAGTATGCACCCTCCCCACCTCCGCCGCCGGCGCTTGCAGCACCGCGCTCAAGGGGCACTCTCCGCCTGGGTGGCGCGGGTGGCCGCCCGGCGCCTGGGCGTATTGTCCGTATACTACAGCAAGTTGTATTGTAGATCATAGTATATTAAAGTATATTCTAGTATATTAAAGTATATTCTAGTATATTCTAGTATATTATAGTATATTCTAGTATATTCTAGTATATTCTAGTATATCATAGTGTATTATAGTATATTATACCGATATTATAGGATCGGAACCTCGCTTGAGCTTCTGTCAGTGCTGCTGAGTTTCTGCCAACACCACCAATACTGCTGCTACTTAGGGTTTAGGGTTTAGGGTTTAGGGTTTCGGGTTTAGGGTTTAGGGTTTAGGGTTTAGGGTGCGACCACGGCTACACCCAAACGAACTTCGCAGAATCCTATGTCCCTGGATTTGGGCCTGGTTCTCCCTAGTACTGGCTGCACCTCGCACGAACAATGCTGTGGTGTCGTAGACCAGGAGATTCCTCTAAAGATGAGGCCCTTACCATATTAATCTAGTAAAATATGGTTGATTCTGGTATGTATGTATGTACGTACGTATCTATGTCTGTACGTATGTATGTGTGCATGGAGTTACGTATGTATGTGTCTATCCATCTATCGATCTACCTACCTTCTGTTTATCTACGCATCTATTGTTCTATCTATCTATGTATCTATGCATGTTCGTGTGTATGTATGTCTGTATGCATGCATGTATGCATGTATGTATGTATGTATGTATGTATGTATGTATGTATGTATGTATGTAATGGTGTACTATAGCACATTATTACAGCATATTATAAGACAATATCGTATTGTATAGTATATTACACTCTATCACCGTATTATCAAAATATATTCTAGTATATTTCATCTATTATATCATTTTATTAAAGGTATATCGAAATAGAATATAGAATATAGTATAGTATAATACAGTATGTTATAGTATGTTACCTAAAACCCTAAACCCTAAACCCTAAACCCTAAACCCTAAACCCATAGTATGTTATAGTATGTTACCGACTCGGCACCTGCTGCTGCGCTTCTGGCCGCATAGCCGCAAGCGGCGAGGCGCGCAGCTCCAGCAGCCGCCTGACAGAGGCCACGTCGCCGTGCCGCGCGGCCCAGAAGAGCCTTCTTAGGGTTTAGGGTTTAGGGTTTAGGGTTTAGGGTTTAGAGGTTCTCTTAAGGGGCTTTATACAAGGGTGGCTATAAGGGCCTTCATAAGTAGATTAGAGCAAGGATTTGGGGTATATGCCAGTATGACAATTATCCGGAACTTTAAGGAATAGTATACTGAATCAGCTAGGGGCGGGGTGGTGCCACGGCAGAAGATGCGGTCGGCTTCGGCGCGCATCTCCAACAGGAGGGCCACTGCGCCGGGCTGATGCCGCTTCGCCTGGGCTCTTTTTCAGGAACTCACTTCAGGGTTTAGGGTTTAGGGTTTAGAGTTCTTTCCGTTGCCAAAATAAGGCAGGGATTGTATTAACCGCGCATACGCACATACATGCATAGACAGTCGTTTACATGCATACACGATGCAGATACGCATGCGAGTATACATGTACACCATCACGGCAACTTAAGCTCATGTCCTCAACACAAGCACGGTCGCCGCCCGCCACAAGGGAGGCTCCTTGCCCCCGTTGAGCAGCTTGGCCAGCACCCTGGGCTCGGTCGTCCGCTCGATGCGAGCTGCGGTGCAGGCCAAAAAGCTGCAGTAGCCATGCCTGGGCTTGCAGGTTTCGGGTTTCGGGTTTAGGGTTTAGGGTTTAGGGTTTAGGGAAGTTTCCTGCTTCAGCTCATACAAGACCGTGATTCCTCAAACCGAGAACACACTGTGCTAAGATCAACAGACTTGACAACTTGAGAACATGCTACACTCACTAAGATCAAAAAAAAACTTCAGAAGATGATCCCTAAACCCTAAACCCTAAACCCTAAAACCCTAAACCCTAAAACCCTAAACCCTAAACCCTAAAACCCTAAAAGTCTACCACAAGAGCGGCCCAAAGGCCCGGCTGCCCAGGCGAAGGTCTCCTGCACAAACTTCGGCTCCTGCGAGCGTCCCTGGTCCAGGCGCAAGAAGAGCTTCCCGCCTTAGCGAGGGTTTAGGGTTTAGGGTTTAGGGGGTTAGGGGGGTTTAGGGGGTTTAGGGTTTAGGGTTTCGGGTTTAGGGGGTTTAGGGTTTAGGGTTTTTAGGGGTTTAGGGATAGACTCGAGGCTTTGCATTGAGGCTTTAGGCCTCTGGAAACCCTCTAAAACCTAAGCCCTACACCCCAAACCCAAACCCTAAACCCCAAAGCCCTACACCCCAAACCGAAACCCTTGACCCCCTAAACCCCTAAATCCCAAGCACTGAGCTTCCTGCGACAGCCGCTTCCCGCTTTTTGCAGGCTGCTGGGAATCTCGGGGCCAAACCTGCCAGCTCGGGGAGGTTCGTTTGGGGATTCGGGTTTAGGGTTGGGGTTCTAGGGTCCCTTTTAGGGCTCCTTTATGAAAATTAGGGATCTATAAGGGTTCTGGGTTCGGGTTTAGGGTTTAAGGATCTAGGGTTGGGGGTTCAGGGCTTAAGAGTTTAAGGGTTTAAGGGTTAAGGGTTCAAGAGTTTAGGGTTGAAGGGTTTACGGGTTTAGGGCTTAACGGTTTAAGGGTTCAAGGGTTTTAGGGTTTAGGGTTTGCCGTGGAATAGCGCTTAGGCACTAGTGTCTTGCGATAAGGTTGTGACCGGCATGTTGGAAAGTGGGCAGGAACTGTAATGATGATCAGGAACCCGCAAAATACTGTTGAAAGGATTTAGACCATCAACTGTAGTATATGTGACTATGGAGGCCCCTATTATTGTGGAGAAATCTTGTGGCGCGGATCGAGGCTGTACGTTACGGCTCAGGCTCTTGGCTTGTGGGCTCCGTCTTGCCGCTCTTGGGGTTCAGGGTTCAGGGTTTAGGGGTTTAGGGCTCTGGGGCTTTAGGGTTTCAGGTTTTAGGGTGGTATGGGGTTTAGAGCTTAAGGGGTTTAGGGCCTGGGGCTCAGCCTTCGGAGTTTTGTCGAGGGTTTAAGGCTTAGGGCTTGTCTGCAGGAACACAATAGACAAGCACACGGTGATGACGGGCCTTATACAACAAATGTGCCTTGTCTGTCGGTCGATGGACAGATGAGTAGCAAGGTATATGAAGCACAACACGTGACAATCGTGTGCAATAGCAGATGCATGCAAAAACTGTCCAGAAGACCGCCAGGCAAACAGAAGAATTGCTCACCATCACAATGTTGACCAGTCATAAACTCAAAGGTCAACAGCGTTTAGGGTTTAATGGCCGGTGTCGCAGCCGGGAATACTGCAAATACTTGCAGCTCGCCGTGCGCAAAAATGAGCTGACGTAGACGGCTCCTGGCCCATTGTAAAGGTTCCGAAAATTTGGGGTCTGCTGCTGACGAGTCCTCACAACGAGCACCACTACTTAGGATCTCAAGCGTCCCGGTCTGGTTTCGGAAGTTCCCCTTAACCACCAACCCGAAATCGATTTGTCAGAAAATCCAAGCGACATCTGCGCGAACAGCCGCTGTGCCGCCGTGTTGGCAGCAGCGAGGACACCCCGACCGGCTTGCGCAAAGGACAGCGCCGTGGGGGCAGGGCAGTGCCTGGGCATGGATGTCAAAGAATGCGTAGGGTCGCGGCAGCAAGTACAGGTTCAACCCTAAACCCTAAACCCTGAACCCAAAAAGCACTTGAGATGCAATCTTTGATGGGCTGTCTAGGGATCTCGAGATTCTGTGGTGCCTCAAGACTTGGGGCAGTCCTCAAACCCCAAAACTCTGTACGTCATAAAACCAGCAACCTGTTGTCCTTCGGCAAAGAAACTCTGAGATCCTGAAAGCCCCGCAAACCCTAACATAGGAGCCTAAGTCAATACCCACATTATCTTGGGGGGTTCCTTGTTATACTTACAGTGTAAGGCCCCAAAACCCTATTCTAATAATTAAGGCCCCTACATGAAACCCTTAAACCCTGAACCTTGAAACCCTTGAGATCCCGGTGTATAACAGGAAGCAGACATCTCTTCTGCCGACGAGTCTAGGGTCTCAAAACCTGACAACAGCAAACCCTGACAGCTCCGATAAAGATTCAATCGTGTTGCAATCGAAACACCTCCAAACCTTAGTCTAATTAACATGGTTCTTAAGGGCGAGTTACAATTACCACATACCTCCAGACCCTCTTCTACTTATCAACGTCCCCATATGAGGGCCTGGCTTCTGGAGCCCGCAGGAGTTTTACAGGGTTACCCTAAACCCTAAAACTGAAACCCCCAAACCTAAACGGTTTAGGGTTTCGGGTTCAGGGCATAAACTGCAACCCCAAGACCCTAAACCCTAAGTGAAGAGCTTGCTGAGTTCTGATAGAGCTTTTGAAGGCTCCAGGGGCAGGGAACTTCGGCCCAATGGTAGGCATACCCCTAAACCCTAAACCCTAAACCCTAAAATGTTCGAGACTTGTCCAGTAGCCCAAGTCTCGATCACGCGCTTCCGGACTCTCTTCTCGTAACCGGTTTAGGGTTTAAGGTTTGGGTACCTTCTTTCCTGCTGTTCTGTCTCGCAGAGGTGCTGGGTTAGACTAGGGTTTTGAGGTGTCTTCACGCATCTTTACAGGAAGGAACCCCCCTAAACTAGCTTTAAGCAGCATTTCCGACCCCGATAATATAGGGGCCTGAATAATTAGAATAGGGTTTGGGTATACTATACTATAATTATCATGAGGAACCCCCAAAACAGTGTAGGTATTTATTTACGCCCCTAGCTTATTTGCCGGTTGTGAAGGTTTTGGAGAAGCCGAAGGCCGCCAAGGGGCACCACAATTCGCGACAGCAGATCCTCGGGGAGGTCCTCCAATGCGGCGTCCGGGTCCATGGCCACAAAGGTTGCAGTCGCATGAGGTTGAGGGTTTAGGGTTTAGGGTTTAGGGTTTAGGGGTTTTCCGGGGGGAGGCCTTAAAAAATGAATGTCGGCTGCGTGCCGCCTGCGCTAGGGCAGAAGTGCTTTACACTAGGAGCTCGGAGAGGTTTACGAAGGGAGCATTGAAACTGAGCACCCTGACTTACGGCTTCGACACTGAAGGCGGGTTTAGGGTGGAGGGCCCTGACTTTCGCACGACGGGAGCAGAACAAAGGCTGGCGATCGCCGGTCCCCAGCACCAAGCAAATTCCGAATTCTTGGACCGATGCGGCCAGCAGCGGCAGAATCTCCAAATCCACGGCGAGTTCATGGCTGTGTTGGGCAGTTCGGGGTCTGGAATTCAAATCAAAAACCAATGACGAGTCACTTTGTTGCGTTGTTCATTAATCATATCCAAACATAATGAACATGATTCATGAAACAATCCACCTGATGCTAAAATAGATCTTCTGTTAGCTTAAGGCTATATGATTCGAAGTTCGTCATCTGATCTATAGTTTGATGATGTCCCCTATCGCTTTTTGTCGCGGGGATGAGACCCTTAAAGACATTCTCAACGAGCTTCGGAAAAGATGCTCGCAGCTCTCCCTACGGCCCTCAAGCCCAAACATCACGACACTGAGTTTAAAGCCCAAAACCCTCAACCTCATCTAACCGGAAGAGGAACGCGGAAACCCCAAAAAAAAAGCGGGAAACGATTCAACCCTACACCCACAATCCTGTAAACCTTAAATCCCGAAACTCTCAAAAATCCTTCACCTTGAACCTCAAATGCTTAACCCTAAACCCTGTATCCCAAACCCTGAACCCTAAATCCTGAACCGTCAACTCCTAAACCGTGAACCCAATCTCCCAAACCCTGAACCCCAAATCCTAAACCGCAAACCCTAAATCCTAAACCGTCAACTCTATCTCCCAAACCCTGAACCCTGAACCCTAAACCGTAAACCCAAAATCTGAAACCCTGAGCTCCCTCGAACGCAAAGCCCCCGAAGCCCCAAACGGCCAGAGAGTTCCCCGTCGTCTTGAAAACCTCAAAACCCTCCGATTAGGGTTTAGGGTTTAGGGTTTAGGATTTGGTTTAGGGTTTAGGGGTTTAGGGTAAAGGATTTTGGGTTTTGGGGCTTAGGGTTTAGGGTTTAGGGGTTTAGCGGGTAGATCCGCTAGAGGGCTTGAGAGGCTTGTCATAGGGTTTTGAAGGGCTTTTTGTGTCGACAGACGGTTCCACTTCGTGATTTAATTCAAGCCGTGAACCCCCTTCACCGCTGTATAGCAATCTGAGTTTTTGGAATCGGGTTCGGGGGTTTAGAAGGATTCTGTATATTACTACAAACTACTTGGAGGATCATGGGACTTAGGAAGTAAGGTTAAAAGTACTTGAAGTGGGGCTATAAGTAAATATGAGTACAGCAGCCATGTTTATCACCTTAACCCTAGGTACTAAGTCCCATGATCCTTTCAGCATGCCGAGAACCCTAAACCCTAAACCCTAAACCCTAAACCCTAAACCCTAAACCCTAAACCCTAAACCCTATCCCGGACCAAAAACCAGATGACCCCAGCCCGTATGTTGAAAAAGATGCCCCCTGACAGACAGCATGCCCCGAGTCGATTATGACGTCCACTAAGGGGGTTTAGGGTTTAGGGTTTAGGGTTTAGGGTTTAGGGTTTAGGGGGCTTCCAAAAGTCTGGCTTAGGGTTTAGTGTTTTGAAGATTTTCATTGTTTTGGAGAATGCTCCGTATAAAGAGTACCCAGGGACCCCGAGTGCCAGACTACAGAATTATCCTTACTCTGCTTGAGGTTTTCCGGTGTGGCCATAAAGAATGATACGGCTTAATAAGCTCCGTCATGAAGAACAACTACGAAGCATGACTAACATACAGAGGAGTAGTGAAAATGATTAAGGACACATGCATCTTGACATATTGCTTCCCCAATTAAGGGGTAATTATGCGTATTGAGCTATCCGGCTACAGAAAGAATTGACACTTTCTCCTAGCATCCTCAGGGTTTCCACAGCGTCTGGTCTTTAAGTCTAGGGCCAACCTACAGAACGCAGCCCAAAAACTGTATCCTGCCGGTATCTGGATTTCGAAACGGCCTTTGTCAAGGTTTTCGTGCTCAGGATGCTTCACGGCAGCAAAACCCTACAGAACCCTTCATGAACAAAAAACGACAAAACTCCTGGAGAACCCAGTTATTCAAAAATCAACTCTAAACCCTAAACCCTAAACCATAAACCCTAAACCCTAAACCCTAAACCCTAAACCCTAAACCCAACAAACCAGCTCACTCGGCCTGACCCTTCCTCCAGGCGAGGTTGGCGATGCCATGGCCACACAAGCGCCCGAAACCCTTCAAAAACCCTAAACCCTAAACCCTAAACCGTGCGAAACCATCATAAGGAACCGGAAATATTGCAGATTATTCCGCATGCAAGTTTCGGGCTGATGTAGGGGCCTCAGTTTGGGGGTCGATTATACTATAACTGTATTAGGAACCATTCTAATTGTTGAGGCCCCTAAATTATGGTGGCTCTAGTCATAGATAATCCAGCACAACCTCCACCCTGACCCTTTCAGGTGAGCCACAACCCTAGAACCTAAACCCTAAACCCTAAACCCTAAACCCTAAACCCTGAACCCTGAACCCTGAACCTTAAACCCTGAACGGTAGCTGAGGGATTCGGACTCGGGATTCCAGGTAGAAGCGGAAACGCTGCAGGGCGGCTGCTTGATTCGCACGCAAATACGGTCTCTGAGGAAAGCGGTTCGCGTTGAGGGTTTGGGGTTTAGGGTTTAAGGGTTTAGGGGCGTGCGCTTTGTTCTTGGTTGTCACTTGTGCTGGACTGTTTGGGAGGGAGAGATCGGCAATAGTGGGGGCAATAACTTGAATTGGGTTGTTGGGTTATTTATCCTATGGTTAGGTTAATGACCCTAAGGAACAAAAATGGCTCCTCATTCCGACCCCTATGTTAGATTGGCGGGAAAGTTGTAGTGATTGTAGTGTAGCTCTTCCTGCTAGCTTGCATTTTTGAAAGCCTTTGGCCGTGGACTTCACGGTCTAGCAAGGCGGCACGGCGTGTTTTACAGACAAGTCTGGTGCTGTTGGTTTGATTTGGAAACCTGAACAATTGGTAATAGTATTCCTTACTACTGCATCATTCTTGTTTCAACTGTTCTTCACATTCATATGGGGGTTTCCAAAAATAGGGGACCTAATATAGTACCCTAAGTAATAGGATCCTTAATATAAGGACCCCCAAATAAGGTACCCCTAATTTTCGGAAACTCCCATATCCTTTGTCCCAAGAACTTGACACGAAACACCTGCACCCTAAACCCTAAACCCTAAACCCTAAACCCTAAACGTACCCCTATTTTCAGAAACTCCCAAATAGGATGCTGGATGAAATACTGGCAATTAGCGCGAGAAGTGCAACTATCGTCCAAATGCTGCCTGGCCATGTCTTGATCCACTCTGGAGCGGGCCTCCTTCCAGGGCATGCCCTAATAGTCCTCGATATGGCGTGCCGCAAGGAGCTCCCTGCCACTGCGTGGCCGTGGCATTCCGGAGGCTATGCCTAAATAAACCCTAAACGCTAAACCCTAAACCCTAAACCCTAAACCCGCCGCAAGCTCCCACAGCTGGGAGGAGAAGCTCTCCTCTTCCTTCTCCAGCTCCCTGGCCATGGCATGACGATCATCACCATGACGACAGTAGCCACAACAACAACAGAAGCAAAAAAACGGTTTAGGGTTTAGGGTTTAGGGTTTAGGGTTTAGGGACAACAAAAGCAACCACAGATATGTAACTAAAGCCCCAAAAAACCCGAACCCCTGGCAGATGCCCAGCCTCTGAGATCAGCGATTCGGCCCCTTGGTTCCGTGCCCCAGGGCTTCTAAGCTGAAGGCCTCTGGGTTTAGAGTTTGGGGTTTAGGGTTTAGGGTTTAGGGTTTAGGGTTTAGGGTTTAGGCTTTAGGCTTTAGGGTCTTCTGTTTAAAGTTGAAGTAGCTTCCGCGTTATGCTTTCAAGCCTCTTTAGGCGGTCGAACCTAATTCCTCCTGACAGTTTCAAGCTTCCGGGTCTTAACTCTGATTGGAAGCTCTCAAACTTGAACCTCGCAGACTTTAGGTTTCATGCTGAGGCTACAATCACAGGTTGGATTTCCAGTTCAAAGCTGTGGTACCGAACCCTGATAAAGGCTCAATCGCCAACAAGCCACAAATGCTACAAGAGAGCTCGGACAGGAGGAGGGCATCACGTTCTTCGGTAGATCACTTGCTTTTCGAAGGGCATCACAGATTTTGAGCCACTGACCGCCCCTAAACTCAAAAGAATCCTTACAGGCCTTCTGCCGATGAAGACTGCGAATCAAGCTTTCATGTTTTTGGTTGACGTGGTGGCGGTGGTCGAGCCCTCAGCCAAGACTTCAGGCTTCAGGCTTTAGGGTCTAGGGTTTAGGGTTTAGGGCCTCTCGAACACCGCAACACTAGCAGTACAACTGCAGGAGTAGATAGACACGTATTCCAGATTGCACTTGTAAATGTGACGCCTCAACCCAAAAAACATACTATTACATAAATGCAAAACGCATCAACCAGAGCGACTGGGCAAATCCCATAAAGCCCACAGGTAAGGAATACTTGCGCAAGTTTAGTGGAACACTGAATCTGATTTACGGCATGTTGCGTTTTGGAAGGATACAGGGGTCTCCCGTCTACCCGGTCTGCACCCCTATAAAACCTAATCTGGACCGATGCAGTGCAACCACTGACAAAGCTCAAATGCCAACTCTTCTGCACCTCTGCACGCCAAACTCTGAGTCTGAAAATGCGAAGCCCTGAACCCTAAATCTTGAAATCTTGAAACTCTAGGCCCTAAACGGCTGATGCTCAGTTTTGCTGAAGTTTGGCTTGGACCTTCTTTCAAAATACCCGAGTGCCACGCGGGAGGCCACCCTCGAAGCAACCTTCCAGAGCGATTCTTACGCTGTAATATTGGGATTTAGGGTACAGGGCTTAAGATACGGGGTGTAGGTGTAGCGTGTAGGGTTTAGCGTATAGGTTTTTGGGCTAGATTGGATAGTTAGGGCTTCATATAGAGGTACTCATAATTAGAATAGGGTCTGGGTGGGCATCTTAGACTATGCTGGTAACAGGAGCTCTAGGCATAGACGGACTGATAACATGCTTTCAGGTCTATTCCTCCTAAAGTACTGGCTTTTGGTGTCATAAAACCCATAAGGCAGTGAAAAAAACAACTGAGAAGGTTTAGAGTTTAGGGTTTAGGGTTGATGACAACCTGTCTACTACCCCACGACATGTCCTAGCATCCCCCTTCTTCATAATACTCAGTTGGAATTCGGAGAGAGGGGCAACAAGTACTGGGCGACCTAGACTCCCAAAAACTTTCTGAAACCCTTATGGAACCCTTCTTCGACCCTTTACAGAGACCCGAAAAAAACTGTAGACACTTGAAACTCTGTTTAAACTGCAATCTTCAGCCTTGAAAGAGTGCAAAACAAGCATTGGGAATTTCGGAGGAGCCTCCTGAACGTGCTCCCCCAGCTTGTCGGCGCGTCTCCGGACCTGCCCAGGTGGGTTGCAGAAGGGCTCCGTAAGGGATTTGACAAGTTTCTAAAGCTTAAACCCAAATACCAAAACCCTAAACCCTAGGGCGTTGGGGGCTCCCGGGGCTTTGGGATGTTTAGGGTTTAGGGTTTAGGGTTCAGGGTTTAGGGTTCAGGGTTTAGGGTTTAGGGCGTCTCGCTGCGCAGTGGCCGATAATCCATGTTAAGATGGCGCCACCTCACACCAGGGCTTGTGGGTGGCGGCAAGCATCGCGTCAAGCGTTCTTTCACTTTTTGAGGTATAACTCGGTGAAACCGGAAGTTCTTTTTACCCGCCCGCTGTGCTGATACCACAGGCAACCACCCAAACC